TAGAAATGTATTTTATGTTGGCGCTGCTGTTTCCATTTAACGTATGTAAAATATTTTATTTATTGTAATTTCCTTTACTGTCAGGATGGCAAGAATACATGCCATTTTTAATGTCTTTTTATTTGTTGCTGGTTTTTACATGTAGATGCTCCAAAAATGCTTTTTATTTACTAGTCGTACCGAGCTCACCTGTTTACCCATTTCCGTGATTTGTGGGAAGATTTTCTTCTTTTTTTTCTATTGCTATTAGTATTGTTAACCCAGTGGTGCTGGGTAATCACACCATCTACTGTTTTCTTTTGTGAAATTTGTTTTTGGCTCCATGAGTGCTTAGCCACTAAGGAGTCTTATAGTAAGTCTGTCTATCTGTCCTTGAGCATTCAGGATTTTTTTTCTTCTTTCTTTCTTTCTTTTTCTTCCCCTTAATGCTATTAATAATAATGTTGTTATTGTTTATATTTGTTATCTTGGTAAACTGAGTAATGTTTTGTTTTTTTTTCTTCTTTTTTTTCCTTTTTTTTTGTAACTTCTTGAAGTAGTAAAGAGATGCTGTAGCATAGATTTTATCATGGTCTAGTGAATGTTAGTAACTCAGGTTACTTATAAGCAAATTAACATTATCATTAATATTGTATCATATCAAGACCATCTACTGTATTATCTTTTGAATGGGACACACTTTATTAAAATTCTGCAATGATTTTGTGTACTTGTTTATAAACATTCAGTTAATGATTGCTGTTTATTTTCAGGATGTTTAGGCATTCTAGGAATTGTACTGCTCATCTTGGGAGGTCTTGTAGCTGGTCTCTTCGATGATTTTATCAACCAAATCATATATAAGGTATACTTTTAGTCATGATTGCTATGTATTTGATACTGCAAAAAGAAGCCAGTAATAAACAATAATTGCATATGCTGCACTTTCATAGGATTGCATTGAAAATTGACATAACCTTACCCCCTTCAATTGCAGGAATTAGTTATCCGCAGTGGGTCTGATATGTTCCAAACATGGAAGCACCCACCAGTTGTACCTCATTTACGAATGTACTTCTTCAATCTAACAAACAAGCAAGAATTTTTAGACGGTGCAAAGCCTGTTCTGCAAGAAGTTGGGCCATACTGCTATAGGTAACAATATAATCTACTGCCTTACTATTGATTTTGAAGTATGGTTCATTATTTTGGTTATTCATTTATCAAACTGTTAACATTCAGTTACAAAAGGTGATAGTATATGTTAAGTTAAAGATGAGAATTAATTCAGAGAGAAGATGAAAATGGAAGATAATTTTCTGCAGTACTCTTTAAAATCATTATGCTCTTTTCAGAGAGCACTGGGAGAAAATAAATGTTGGATTTCACAACAATGGAACAGTGTCCTATGAGACTCAAAAGCACTACTACTTTGAAAGAAGTCATTCCTCAGGATCTGAGGATGATGAGATAGTCACTCTGAATATTCCTATGCTAGTAAGTTGAAGTAGGAGTGTCTTTGATATATTGTGATATATAATGATGACTCAGTACTTATGTTTTGGGGAATTGCTGTAATTTAGGATGATGCTGTGATTATTCATCTTTAATTTTTGTATAAAGTACAGATTTTGATTCATGATGATTCAGCATTTTCCGAGTAAGATGATTTTACATACTTATTTTGTTGATGACTAAAGGAGTATCTAAAATTTTACAGGCTGCAGTGTCTCAGGTCCGGTTCAAACCAAGGCTGGCTCAGTTAGCCATAGATTCCTTACTCACTGTTCTCAAAGAGGAACCCATTGTGGCTCATACAGTTGGGGAATTTATGTGGGGATATGATGATCCTCTGCTCAAAATTGCCAAGAATCTTCTGCCTCCAGAGGAACGTATGCCTTTTGATAAGTTTGGATTCTTCATTAATGTGAGTATTCTCTGACATATGTTTTTATTCCAGGGTAGAGAATATCTTTTGAGCAGTTGCCTCTAATTTTGGGGGAATGAATATTAAGCAGTGTTAAAATGAGATTTATGTATGTTTTCTTTCTTTTCTTGATTTATTTCCTGTATTATTAGTCAAATATTGTTTCAAGAGGACCAGTAGCAAAGTAAGGAACTCTAACTCCAACTACTAATATTAGTATTATTTTAGTTAGATTATATCTGAATTTTACTTCAAAGGGTCTGACTAGTTGCACATTTCATATCTACAAATCATGTGAAACTAATAAATTTTTTCCTCTCAACAGCGAAATGGCTCTACTGACGGGTTATTTAATGTCTTCACTGGAGAGGGAGATATCACTAGATATACAACTATTAATACATTCAACCACAAGAAATATCTCGATTTTTGGAAGACAGAAGAATGTAACATGATAAATGGCACAGATGGTTCATCATTTCCTCCTGGTGTGACAGAGGACTCTGTTCTTTATATGTTTAATGAAAATCTGTGTCGTTCCATTCCTCTTACTTTCTGGCACAAGAAGGAAACCTTTGGAATGAAAGCACTAAG